ACGGCTTCTGCCTCGTGTCCAGCGACAGCGACTTCACGCGCCTGGCGTCGCGGATCCGCGAGTCCGGGCTGGTGGTGTACGGCTTCGGCGAGCGCAAGACGCCCAAGCCCTTCGTGTCGGCGTGCGACAAGTTCGTCTACATCGAGAACATCCTGCAGGAGCAGCTGGCCGACGTGCTGCCCAGCCCGAGCAGGCAGCACCACGCGCAGGTGGCCACCGCCGTGGCCACTCCCGCGGCGTCCGTCGACTCGCCCAAGCTGGAGAAGCAGCTCAGGATGGCGATCGAGGCGGCGTCGGACGAGGAGGGGTGGGCGAACCTGGCCAAGGTGGGCGGGCTGATGACGAAGAGGCACTCGGACTTCGACCCGAGGACGTACGGGTATACCAAGCTGGGGGGCCTGGTTGCCGCGACGGACAAGTTCGATATCAGGAGGAGGAGCCCCGGGGAGGGGAAGCCGATGGTTATGTACGCGCGCGCGAAGACTGCGGAGCAGGGGTTCTAAAGGGGGGACACGCACTTCAGGATTTCTCGGGGGCTGGGAAGCTGAGCCCCCCTTTCTTTTCTATGGAGCAACTTGTTTATCGAAAGGAGTTTGTAATTTTTAATGTTTTTGGCTTGTGAAGTTGTTTACTACTAAGACATGATTCAAGATGCTGTCACGACACGCTTCTGCTCGGTCCACCATTTAACATAGAAGGAACGTGACTTCCTGGACGCCCGAAGATAAATGCGCTTTGATGAATGATCCGGGAGTTAGGTCCACGCGGGGTCCTTGCCGTCCGTCTTCCGCGCCGACGTGACCGTCAAGAAGGCGAACCTCTCGCCACCCACAACTTACACCGTTCTTATCTCCCCTCACCCATAATAGGAGCTAGGAGCTTGGCGTTCCATTCCGGCTATTAACGGGGATACCGCTGGCCACGGCCTTCTCCTCTGCGTACCTACCGTGTTCCCGGACTTTGAATTCTCTTTTTACTGACGTAGTTCACGAATGCCACCCCCGTCCGCCGGTCGTGTCTCAGATCGAACATTGGAAAAATCACCTGGCCATGCCCCAAGTCTTATGTTGAGATCGAAATCAAATCAATGAGGAACGCGAACAGTCTAGGAATGAAGATTTGCCCCCACCACGGCTGGCTGAAAATCTCGGCCCTATCTGTCTCCCCTTACGTTCCCGCCGACAGGCTAATCCGAGGATTAATGCCTCCGATATTAACAACCCCCCCCCATTCTTCCCCAGCCACCACACAACCACGCTTCCCCTTCCCACTCAAAGCCAGCCTAGCTGAATAGGAATATGTATTTGATTCTTGCCACTCGTCTATATTCCACTAAAGAGTCTATATATAGTGTGTGGGTCTCTTGTTTTTGCCATTCCAGTGGATGGACCACCCGTACCCGGCATGAAAGCATAGGCTTGGCCCATTAATATCAATCATCAAGCAATTGACTCTGAAGAACCTAGAAATGGGCCGAAGGAAGGGTTCGGCGTATACTGGCAATCCGCGCAATAGGTCTTTCTTCGATGCTGATTCCCCGGTCATCCAAATCCCGTTTTTACCCCCGCCAATACTTGGATCCTTCCAACATACTCTCTAGGTCCGGCAAGCCGACTTGTAGGCATTGAAGCAGCGGCACCAGCTCGGTATGGAGTAAAGAATGCGCTGTGTGTTATCTAAATCCCGTTTTGAGACTTGTAAGAGGGCATAGATACCGTACACGTATATATCACACCTCCACGTCACGAGAGCCTCTTCCAATAAGACGACCCAAGGAAGACATGGTTCTTGTCATTTAAGTTTTTCCGTTGGCTTTTCTCTTCCATCTTAATGGAGAGCCCGTTCTACCCCTCCTTCTATGAACTATATCAACCTTATTCCCCGCGTCAACCTTCCCTCGCCGACACCAATACATCCACCACCGCGTCGTTCAGCGAGGGGTTCTGTGATCTTGTTTGCTAGCGAGGTTACACACGTGGTTGTACGCGGCGCGAAGGTCGCGCCACCCCTTTGGAAGACACGGGAAGACGGGCCCAGTCCCGAGCGGCAGCAACGCACCAAGAGCGGTCTAATATATAGCGTGCGTCCATATCTTGAACTGGACGAAGTGGCTAAAACTCAACGTCAACCAGTGAATTGGTTGAAAGGTGAGGAAGCCTAACTGGGACTTCGCGGAGAGGAGGGATCCGAAGACTGCCATCGGCGATGAACACGATGGAATCCGCGCAAGATGTCTCCAACAACACACACGAGGTCAATTACGACTCCCTCGATTATGACACCGTGAGTCCCATCCACCCACCTCCCTCCCCCTATGGCCTGAACTTAACCCCCTGCTAACACGGACCCAGCCCCACGACACCGCCATGCCCGCCATCCTAGCCGGCATCCTAATCCCCCACGCGACCTGCACCCTCGTCGTGGTCGCTCGAGTCGCCGCCCGCCGCCTCCACGGCACCTGGTCCCCCTCCGACACCCTCGCGCTATTATCATGGGCCTGCTCCACCGCCATCTGCATCATCTACAGCATAGCTGCCTACACGCCCGACATCCTCCTCGCGCCGTCCGAGCTCGCCCTACAGAACGACGCTCCCGAGGGCTCCGTGCACCCGTACATAATGCGGACGTACCTCGGCTTAATCTTCTACCAGCTGTGCCTCTGCCTGACGAAGCTCTCCGTGCTATCCTTCTACCTCGGCGCGCTCCACCGTCGCGCGGAGCGGCGACTCACTTGGGCCACCATCGTGGCGGTCATACTCTACGGCGTGCCCCTCCTCTTCACGTCCATATTCCAGTGCCACCCGCAAGAGGGCCACTTCTTCGGGCGCAGGATGACGTGCGTGTCCTTCTCCCCCCTCCTCATCTCCAGCGCGGCCCTCCACGGGGCCACCACCGCGTGGCTGATCCTCCTCGCCGTCCCCGCCGTCTCCCGCCTCGACCGCCCCCCGCGCCAGAAGGTCGCGCTGGCCGTCATCCTCAGTCTGGGCATCTTCGTCATCGCGGCGGGACTGCTCCGCCTGCAGATGGGGCTGAGCGGCGACTTCCGCCGCGGGAGCGTGGGCGCGACGAACACGCTCGCCTTCTTCGTCGTGACGGTGCTGGAGTGCGACGTCGCGCTCATCTGCGCCAGCGCGCCGACGCTGGGGCCCCTTGTCGCGAGGGTGTGGCGGGGTTTCATGGGCGAGGAGGCGCGGGGAAGGAGGAGCAGGGAGCCGCTGAGGAGGGACAGCGAGAGCTTGGATCTGACGGGGAGGGTGAGTTACCACGGGTATCCGTGGACGAGGCCGGGGACGGCCGCGTCGGGGAGGAAGGGCTCGGGGCTCGCGGGGCGGGTGTACGGGCACTTACGGACGCCTACGGGGGAGGTGCGGGGGGGTAGTGCGTCGAGGGCGGGGGTCTCCACGCCCCAGCGGAGCATGCGAACACTACTGAGCGGCACGAGGACGCCAACGAGACCGCGGGTATATACGGAGGAGGAGATGCGGTCTGTCTCGCGGGGGAACGCGACGGGCGAGAGCAGGCCAGTCTCTCTCGGCTTCGAGGAGTACTTCCTCGCCCTCGCGAATCACCCCCCGCCCACGGCATCGCGCAAAAACAAGGGCGCCTCCTGGCCGAGCGACGACGCGGTGACGGGGAGGTGGGACCGCAGCCAGGAGAGCTTCGTGCTGGGTGTCAACGACCCACGGAACAGCCGGATGGCGCCGCCGCCTCCCGACGGCGGGGTGGGTGGACGCGATGTGGAGTCGTCGGTGGCCAGTAGCGAGGCGGGGTCGCCGACGACAGAGACGCCAGAGAAGGCAGGAATGTGAAGGGAAATGTTCGAGAAGGAACCACAAACCATGGGTCGGGGGTAAGATCAGACCAGTTTGATGAGGTGCGTCCCAGAGAACACCGTGGAATGGTCGATAGAAGGTAGGAGGAAGGAGGAAGGACCACAGGGTGAACGAGTGCCCTGAGAGATTAACATTTTCCGGGTCGACTGTCTCGGGTTGGGAGACCGGTTGCTGATCTCGGCGCCCGGAAGAAGCCTGGGTAGGGATGAGGAGGCGGGAAAGGGTCAGGCGTTATGGGAGGATGGTGGTTCGGGATGTGCATTTTCCAAACATAGCATTTTGCGGATGCGGTTGGGGTTGGGACGGGTCGGTGTTGGGTCAGTTTGATGGGACGAATCCACGGGTCCCTTGTACATAGAGATATGCTATGCCTGGCAGGAGCACGGGCAGGCCCAGGGTGGGATTGGACGTGGATGGATACCAGAATAAAGTGGCATCTGTAAAAGTACACCCTGGCAGAGCAGTCCTGACTTTGGTTTGACTTGGGTCAAAGGTCAAGAGAGCGATGAGAACGAGAGAAGCCGCATGGAGGAAGGCAGGCTGCGGCATGCGGTGAGGCAGTCCTCGAGCAAAGAAGGCCCAACAGGTACCGCATGGGCAGGATGCAGTGTCCCCGGAAAACGCAGACGATGATTGCCCGCCTGAAGCTTACCGAGCAAAGCGCCCTCTCATCCACTGTCTCTCCAAGATCAGAAACCCAGACAGGCCCCGGCATCAACCAGGAACCGAACCCACGCACGCCGACCAAACCCGGACCGCCAGTCCTCCCATCTGCATCTTTCTTTATTTTTGTAACCTGCCCGTTACGGACAGGGCATATCCTCATCAGATGCAGGAGTGAGGAGTCAGGCGCGCACCTGTGCACGCCATTGGTCCGTTGGTCGGGAGGACCTGTCGATGGGACGCATGATGCGCGGATCTGGGATCTTTGTTCTCGAACGAACTTACGTTTGGGGGGGGACGGGGGGCGGACGACGACAGGGATATGGGCGGTTCGATATCCCGGCTGTCGAACGCCAAGTTACGCACGGATGTTAAGGAAGAGAGGCCGGATCCGGAACTCCAACACCGGAGAGTCTGGGTGAGTAAGGAATGGATGAGCTTCGTCCTGTTAGAACAACCAGCCTACACATGGATAAATTGTAATGTAGATGACATAATCAACAAGGGCCGATGGTCTAGCGGTATGATTCTCGCTTAGGGTAACACCCTTGGCAAGCCATGTGAGCAATCACGTGACTAATTTGCGAGAGGTCCCGGGTTCAATTCCCGGTTGGCCCCCTTACTTTTCTTTTGCCTCATTCTTCCTCGGTTTTAACATTTTTTTGCCTTCTTTTGTTCTGTATAAACTTACGTCTGCCTATAAAGTAATACATGTGGTTTAGCACTGAGTCTCCGAAGATTTGGCGGTGTGTAGCTGAGAGGGATACAATACGAGTGAGCTTCCATGACCATTACTTCGACGACGACGACGGCTAAGAAAAGTGATCGCCAACCTCACACTTACCCCTGCGCATCACCGCAGCCCATCGCCACCTTCTTCCGGTCTCATAGTTAGGTGTCGCATGAATTCGTGACGGGGAGGCATGATCTCCCTTATTACCGATCTGGGCGAAAAGTTCGCCTCCCCGGGCTTCCGTTGCCTCTCCACCTCGTTGCCTCACTTCCTCACTGCCGGCCTCCTCTGAGCTTGGCACGGGCTGTGGGCTAGTCGAGGGAGGAAAGCCTTTTCCTTTCCCGGAAGCTGTCGACCGTGATCCCACATATGCTGCATGCTCACGTCCCTCCGTCGGCCCAATTCATACCTTGCGCATCTTGCTACACCCCCATCCCAGACGCCCGTGCTAGCGCCCCAGTAGCTAAGCTTAATCCGACCTGCAGGACAGGACAGGACAGGGCAGCTTCCCCCGCGAGGACACAGACTTTCGGAGATTTCGATCTGGTCAACAGATCGAGAGCGGCCACTTTCTTGTCCGACCGCTCGCCACCTAGAGACTTGATGACGCGCCGAGTTAAAGCCCGCAGCCCGCTTGGCTTTAATCCATCAGAAACATGACGTCGACTTTCCAGAGTCAGGGAAAGCCCCGTGAGCAATCAAGTTGTGACCGCCTAGTGCTTGTTTACTCTGCCTGATACCCTTACCCTCCTGGTCCCGTGCCGTCCTTCCAGAAGCTGGTTCGTCTCGCCTGTACTAGAAACCATCCCCCTTGTTCGTCCAATGATACCTTGCCCGCTCACGTGTAGGGAGGGTAGAGATCGTCCCATGCGTCATCTAGACATGGCTGACCACCTACCTCCTACGCATGATGTACCCCAGCAATGCTTATCCCGTGTGCCTACAACACCCCCCTCCCCAATCCCACTTGGGCAGCCCCCTGGGAGAGATCTCCGCATCTTACCGAGGAAGCTTGCCATCCCTACGTAGCCCCACCGGTAAAGGACAACCTCTATTCTTGTCCTCACACCTCGTCCTGAGCTTAGCTCCCCTCCCACCCCCCCCCTTTGTCAGGCTGACCTACACCTCGAACCTGACCTGACTCTCATGGAGCCACTACTGCGTACACCCCCGACACCCCCCCGTCCTCCCCTCCCATATCGGTGAACCCCGCCTCCAACCCGCATGTAATGGTTCGGCTGTGGGTCATGTTCAGCTTCCGACCTGGTTGATGTCATCCCAGGTCCCCCTCCGTCCGATGCGCAATCTCGGACCACCTCATGGTCTGAGATCCGTCTTCCCTTCTCTTCTCCCCAGTCCCCACTCTCCTCCGGGCTCCCCGTCTCTCCCTTGTCTCCACATGGCCAGGCTTTTGCCATACCATTACGTTCATTCCTTCCTTACTTCCCATTCGGAGCTTTCTTTTCTCATTTACGATCGTTACGACCTTGGTTCGTCTGTTACCAAGACTCATTCCATTCTCACCTTCTTTTTGGGGATAGTCAGTGGCCTTGTCAATTCTCTTAAAGTTGTTTCTTTCCTAGCTTCTTTTCTTCCGCTTTAGTTATCGAGGCTAGTCGAACTAGCACAGCTCCTTTCTAGTCAGTCCATGCCAGGATGAAAAACAGCTTATAATGTTGATATCTCGGGGCCTACATGCCCTGCTCTGGACCCTCGCCCTCGCGGCGCCACCACGGGATCCCGTCCTATCCTCACCCCCACTCCGCGATAGTTTAGACGTCAGGTCGAGATCCGAGAATGACGCATCACAACCAGACGCGCTCAGATTACAACAGAGGTCGATACCGCAAAGAAGGAAACGGAGAGCGAATGGCGCAAGGTCTGAGGGCGGATGGAACCCGACCACACTCCGCGCCAGGCAGGACGACCGCTGCTCAGACTCGACGTTCTGCCCCGACGGCGCGGGATCCTTCCAGTGCTGCGGCGCCGACTTCCAATGCTGTGTCGCAGAGGACGGAACTGGGGCGTGCTGCCCCATTGAGTGCGAGGGAGACGAATGTCCCTCGAGGTCGTTAGTGTCCTCCAAGATCCCGCAACGTCCACAGCCCTCCCGGATCTAACACGTCTTACAGAATCGCGGTCAACGAGGCCGCCGTGCCGACGGTAATATTCACGACAACAGTCATACGCACCGTGACGATCGCGACGTCCACGCTCACGGAGGTGTTCGTCTCCACCGTCTCGCAGACCCTCACGTTCGCGGACCCCGGGCTGCAGACGCAGACTAACACCGTGACCATAACCGCCGCGTCCGCCGCCAGGAGGCGCGCCCGGCAGGTGGAGACCTCCGTCCCCGAGACGGCTTCCCTCGGTGACCTTCCTTCATCCACGGAGGTTGAGGCCCAGGCGACGGCACAGGCGGGGATCGAAGTTTCGGCAAGTCCGAGTAGCGTGCCCACGGCGACTCAGAATACAGGACAGGCGGATGTAGGGGCTGAGACTGAGGCCGAGGCCGAGGCCGTGGCTACCGCCACAGTGACCACGACCGTTGAGCTCGTCACGACAGTCATGGGGGTTAGGACCATCACATCCACTATCTTCAATACCGTTTTCGTGACACGGACCATCGCCCC